TGGGGGGGGGGGGGGAAACAGAAAGCCAGCAGTTGCAATCGCTGCTTTTACTGGGATTAACTGAGGGATTGCTTATTCAAGCTGCATATGCAAGGAGTATTTTTGAATTTAACGAAAGGGATGAAAACTTGCGGCCTATTGCATGACTGTAGGATTACACTTGGATTACCCTCACTGTAGTCGGTGAGAGAATGCAGAAATGCCTACATAAAAGAAGAAACGGCAAAACTGAATGTGTCCATCTGGTGTATACATTTTAGTATGCATTTGTGCATAGATTCTCAACAGTGCTTCTGCCTTATTTCAGAGAGTGGAATAAAATGACACAAACACTAACAATAGTCAGCTTTTAGGTTGTCACAACCCACATCCAAATATGGCTCCACCCATTTTGCATAATAGGTACCCCTGGAATGCCTTATCCATCTCTGAACTTTTAAGTGCAACCCCCCCTTAAAGGGTTAGTTCACCCAAAAATGAAAATTCTGTCATTAATTACTCACCCTCATGTTGTTCTAAATCCGTAAAACCTCCGTTCATCTTCAGAACACAAATTAAGATATTTTTAATGAATTCCAAGCTCTCTGACCCTCCCATAGACAGCAATGTAATTACCACGATCAAGGTCCAGAAACGTAGCAAGGAGATTGGTAAAATAATCCATGTGACATCAGGGGTTCAACCGTAATTTTACAAAGCTACGAGAATACTTTTTGTACGCAAAGAAAACAAAAATAACGACTTTATTCAACAATTCGTCTCCTCCGTGTCACCCTGGTGCCATTTTGGAGAATATCCACTGAATGTAAACAGTTAAAAAAAATTTTTACGGTTGAACCCCTGATGTCCCATGGATTATTTTACCGATCTCTTTGCTACGTTTCTGGACCTTGATCGTGGTAATTACATTGCTGTCTATGGGAGGGTCAGAGAGCTCGGAATTCATCAAAAATATCTTAATTTGTGTTCCGAAGATGAACGGAGGTCTTACGGATTTGGAACGACATGAGGGTATAGAGTAATTAATGACAGAATTTTCATTTTTGG